TTCCAGCTTAATGTTCAAATGTTCATTAAATAATGACAATATATTTTATATGCAGATGTTGAAAATGCCAGCAGCAAAAATTAAATACAATTTAAAAAAAACGTACAATGAAGTAATACATGCTATTTTGTTGTAGAAAAACATTAAAGGAACCTAAAGTTTTAAATCTGAGAATAAAACACAATGTGTCCATGTTTTTATGCCCAAGAGAATACATTTTCTTATTGTAATGTATACTTGGCGTTTTAGTTTTACTTGTGTAATATACAGACACTGCAGTAATTTTTAGTAGCAATTAAGTTCTTAAATATGGGCTGAATATGTTCCAGATATTATAGATTGTAATTCCTGGAAAACGTCTCTATTGTGCAAATCAAGGTTTGGGCAATAAGATTTACTTTCAGCCTTATGTTCTTCTTAAAACAAACCACCCAGACAGTTCAGGAAGATCTCTTCAAAGCATCATTAAGCAAGAAAGCAATTAGGTTGGATCAAATCATAAAGTCACACAAATAAGGAGGCTGCAATCTTGGGTGAAAAAACCCTCTCAAAGCCTTTTCTCATTTGTTTAGAAGAAAGGAAAGGCATCTGGCATTACCATGTGTGAATTTAAGGCAAGCTTCTAATTAAAGTCATGTTCTATAGTGAATGATAAATCAGTAAGGTGGATATTGGTAAGATTTATGGGTTGTAGAGATGCAAAGCCAGTATGTTTAGATAGTCTGAAGGAGGACAATAAAATGGAAAAATGAGTATAGACAATATCAAATCTATGTATCCTAATGCTTATGGATTAACTGTTACAAGCTTTGTAACGGCACCCTCAGCATAAAAGGGTTAAACCGCCATTTAGTAGATCTTCCCTTCCAGAGACACAGGCACAGCTACTGCAGAACACCAATCCGCCGAACAGGAAACCATATGAATGCTGTAAACAGCCGAATAGGAAAAACCATACGAATAGGTTTACACTCCTAGCAGTCGAACTGGAACAGCATACAATAAATCCCCCCAAGAACGAGACAAAGCTCTGTGTTGAGGGTCAAGCAGTGAACAGACAGAGCTGTGGGTTTATTGTGCTTATGTACACATTCTTACACATTAGTACCACCCACAGGGTTTTGGAACACAACCAATAAACACATACAATACACTCAGACACTCCCACACAAATTCCTCCCCTCTGCATGTGATTCAATTACCTTACACAATGGGTAATGTAATTTAGCACAAGCAGAGAAATAAAAATTTTCCACATTATTCATAACTTGAAAAGTATGCATCACATTCACATAAAACTTACATTTTCAGAATCAGCATACTCCAAATACAAACATACGTCAAATTCATACAAATTGGTCCAATGGTTCAAAAGATAGATCGTAGTCCTTTGTGACCAAAGGAAGCATGGCTTTTCTGCCCAAAACCAGTTCCACAGAGTCTTCTATCCTGGAGATAATTGTGAAGTAATCCAATTATCTCCAAGGACAGAGGCAAAACTCCATTGAACACATGGCAGCAAAAGACAATAAAACACATAAAAACATATAACTGTGCAGCCATTGCACAAAACAAGTACATTCAACATATCCCCAGATAGCTCAGATCTGAGCACACATTATTACTGAATGGCGCTCAGAGCACACACATACAGTTCAATTGCCATGGAGCCAAAGTCTTTCCCATAGTCTTTCATTATACGAATGGGCTCCATGGCATAGCTATCTGGGGTATCACCGCTCAAACAAGGCAAGCACCAAATGACCCGGCTTTCATGTCTTTGCAGGGGGAAATCAAGCCTTTTAACATGGGGCCATAATCCAAAGGCAACAGGCGAGCAACCAGGCTTTTCCAATGCAATGTGGCGAGATTGGTCTCGTCACAAGCTTGTCAAGCACAATCACTGCAATGGTAAGGATCAAAAGATCCATATTCTTAACTTCTAGACATTTTTATGGTAACTTATACCATAAAAATACCAACTGGCAGAAATCTCTGCTGATGTGAAGCAGGTAGGGCACAGGGTCTCAAACATAGAAGATGACATATAGTCCATTCACTCCTAATTGCACAAATTACAGTCCAGACAGATGCAAATTGAAAATAGAATGACCCACATGACACAACATTTCGATGATCTGAACAATAGAGGGAGAAGAAACAATCTTAGAATACAAGACCTTCCAGAATTCACTGATCCCAGTGAAGGCATCTTCACCACTATGCAATCACTTTTTAATAACATATGACAAAATCCACTGGAAACGTAGGGCTCTAAGACAGAGAGGAATATTATTTATAAAATATTTTACCAGGAAGGATACATTGAGATTTTGCTCAGTTTCAAGTATTTCCTGGGCCCACAGACATTCTATTAATACATTAGAGTACAATATAATATTAAAAATACCAAATAATATTAAAATACACATAAATTTAACACAGAACGGGTCTAATGAACTATAATTAAAGGTGCATTCTGTATTGAAATATGTTGACAGGGATCGCTTAAAGAATTTTAGACTCGAGCAAGATTGGATTGTATCTGTGAGATTATTCTTTAATATGAGGTGCTCTGTAGGAAAATGTAGATCAAGTCACTTAATTTTTGTATTTTGGAATACTAAATAAAGTGTTGTTACTGGATTGGAGGTTATAGTAGTTGGAAACAGCATGGGAGAGCATTCTACTCAGGTATGGTGGGAGCTTACCAGATAAGCTTCTAAACACAAAGCTGGAGAGATGAAGGCTGTGTCTGGACTCCAGTGATAGCCAGTTTACTTGTTGGGTCATGTAATTATATTGTAACATGAATCATCAGAATGAGTTATACAAAGTAGTACATTTATAAAGGTGGGCTTGCTGCGTACTACATCCCCATATTTAATGACCAGCACCAGCATTTGTTGTATAATCTGCTTCCATACCATGGGGCTTAAGTAGGATTTGTTTTTGTACAGGACACTTGGTTTTGGATAAAGTATTTTTTTGTATTCTTTATTTTTGTTGTGCATGAGATAAAATAACAGAGGCATGCTTGCAATGCCACGACAGCAGTTACAGGCGTTTTGAAAACAAATATAAGTTAACATTTGCATGGCATTCGGACAAAAGCACAATTTTTTAAAATTTATAAACATGCTAAATGCAGACTAACTTTGTATGTCTATTGTGGTGAGTCACATTGGGATCATCAAGCTTGAGACAGTAAACATACAGTGATTCTAAAGTGTATGATAGTGATTAGAGGCAGTTAAACATTGCCTAACTAGCTAAAAAACATCTTTTGATGCCACAACAGCCTAAGTAAGCACGGCATTATCACAATAATTTGCAGATATGGCATTGAAGTAGCGGCACACTTGTTAAGGTGTAGGCAATATAATCAAGCTTAGTTAGCTATGTCAGGGGATTATCAACATGCAACATGAATATTAACAGGTTATAATAGCTGACATTAGATTTTGGTGCAATCAAATTATTAAAGAATGGAATCAAGTTAAATCTCTTAGCTCTGGCTAATAAGTACAGTGGATGTCCTATGTTCTACTACTTGGACCAGGGAGGTTAAGGTAGAAAATCTTGCAAAATAGCCTAGGTAGGCTTTGGTCAATGAGACAGTATGTAGTGTAACGGTACTACAGTTTGTAGTGTAACGGGTATTGAAGGGGTTAACGCCGCCAAAGATGTTCCCTTCCCGAATACAAAGTCAGCTACCGAACACTCCTAAGCACCGAACAGGAAAACACATGAATAATCCCCCTCCCAAGTACGAGACGAGGCTCTGTATTGAGGGTCAAGCAGGAATCTGTTTAATGTGGGCTACATGCCCATCTTTTATGCAGGTCTTCCACCCAGGGACACTCCCATAGAGGGACCTGGTGGAAGATTGGGACAAGTTCATACAGTAACCAATCAGAAACATATACAGTGATAAACACTCCCACAGGCACATTACTACTTTTACAGGCACAATAAAACTACATAAAAATCTATAATTCCCAAACTACCGAACAGAACCCCCACATTCAACGTATCCCCAGATAGCTTAAATCTGAGCGCACAATATCACCGAATAGAGCTCAGATCCCATACATACAGTTCAATCGCCATGGAGCTAAAATCTTGTACAGTGTACGTTCGTCAAACAAATGGGCTCCATGGGATAGCTATCTGCGGTAGCAATGTTCGTATAGTTAATGTACCGAACGGCACGGCATTCGTATGAACTGGGAACAGAACGAAGAGGGGTCGGCGGCTTCAGCGGTGTTCGTATGAAATAGCGTCCGATTTTAGTTCCATAGGTTTGTCGACGAACACCGCTGGGCATTCAACTATCCAAGATGGACGCCGCCACGTGTTCGTTCATACGAACGACGACCACCCAGCCGACCATTCAAGAGTTGAAAGTGCCTGCAGTTAACCACAACGTTCTAATGAGGGCAAGAGGTTAACAAGCAGCACACTTCCCTCCTGAGTGGCCTGCCATTCGGTAGTTCTTTTGTATGTAGGGAATAATACATGGGGCTGTACGGACAAGTGGCAATTACCGAACAAACAGACGAACCAAGTTGAAATAAAAGTAATCCAAAGACAGAGAGGTCTGTCACATGTGGTAACTGAACATTAAAACAAAACTGAGACTCAGATCTCCCTTAAGTGCTGTGTGCAGGAGGTGGCACATAAAATTGAGAGGAGTCCCTGGCTCTCATGGCTCATAGATTCTGTCAGCCGATACACGTCATGGGTACTACAAAGTTGTGCAGCTTAGTGAGGTGCTTCAAGCTTCCGGGCGCAGGTCTTGTCATGTGGTGCTGGTCAGTTCCATGGGTATTAGTTGCCAGGAGTACTTGAGATCCTCGGCGAGGTGCAGGAGTAGATCCCGTCTCCGTCTGTCTCTGCTTTTGCTTGTGCTGGGGTGATGCGTGAAAGCCAAGGGTGTTTTCTTTATGCGTCTAAGGTGCCGTAAGGGGCTGCTTGCCTGGGGCATGTTGCAGTGCCCGGTTCTCCAGCTTTAGCCAAAATGCAGCAAAGATAGCCTCAAGTTTGGTCTGAAGCCTGGTCTCAGTGTTGAGACCTTGGCCTTGGGGGAGGCACGTGGTGTCTGCCATTATGGCGGTGGTATCAGGATGGGGCCCTTGGCTTGGAGGTAGGCTCAGTATCTCGGGTATGTGAGCAGACGCCATCTTGGGAGCGCCATGAGGGAGAAGCGTTTCAGGTTTGTTGCTCAGTGTGTAGGACTGGGGCTAGGCAGATAGCTCCGGACATCTAGAGTGGACCGGGATAACCCCTGCCGGTCCAGAGGAGGGGGGGGGAAGAATGTAGTAGTGCTTTGGATTACGTTTTTGGGGCCACAAGCGGGAAGAGCGGCCGTCTCCTCCTGCCTCAAGCCTCATCAGGCCTCAGTGGCTGGATTGGGGAACCCGGCTATCGATCTGCACACGTGTGGTATCGAGTTGTTCCCCCGCTTGTTTAGAGCTAACCTGGAGAGAGACGTGCCAGGTTTCTTGGGTTTTTCCACAAAAAAGTCGATTTGGGTCAGGAGCTGGGACTCGGCACGTCTGCTCAGCCTGGCTGCTTGGCTCCGCCCCCTTAGATAAAGTTTTAAAGAGAATTTTTCAATATGCAGGCTGAATAATAGATTAGGGTCTAGCAACATATCGAGATAATTGAAAGAACAGACTGCAGTCAGCAGTTTAGGTAATGTTACAAAGATCATTGTGACAGTTTTATAAGTGCTTAGGAAGAATTTGTTATCTGAGAACCACTTTTCTACCTTTTGTGAACTGGTCTTGTACACCGCCTCGAGCTGTGGTAGATTTGGTTTGCTAGTGTAGATTATGGTGTTGTTTGCGTACATGTGTAAAGTTGATGCTTTGCAGACATTAGACATATCATTTATGAATAATGTGAATAGCAGGTGGCTGAGTTTGGAGCCTTGGGGAACACCACACGTGACCGTGAAATGGAGGGAGGCGCATATTTCCGCATTTTTATAGCAATCACTCCCAAATCTTGGGGGCTCACTTTGGGAGCTCGACCCACAACCCACAAACATTAGGAATATAGTACTTGCTTAGGGATGTTAATGGAGATTTATCTTTCTGTCGTATAAAATAAAATTTTAATTTACATGTCTAAAAAGACAGCACAGCTCCTAATACCTCTCATCTTGTTTTTACATTTACATTACTCTGTTATTCATTTCCTTGTACATTATATTTCTATATAAAGAGAAAAACACCTATTATTATATCAGTGACTGCACACCATTCATCTGGACATCTGATTGCCTATCTTTTGAATTTAGTATACTTGTAATGTCACAATTACCATCTATTAGTAGTATTAAAAATGGGGGGGGACATGGTGTCTTGGCAGCCTCAACCCAAGTATGGCAGGTTGAAAAAAAAAGGTTGAATAATATAAATAATCCATAAAACTGATGTGACTACTAGAAATTAAAAATTAAGAAAAAAATGTTTTCTTGTAAGCCAAACAATCAGATCTCTCTGACTGAAATTGCATAGCATGGGAAAAGAATTAAGGTAAATTTTATACTTCCGCATGCCTCCAAACGTTATGCCATGAGTGGGGGAATGTCTTCAATTTCAGACAAATCGGCAATCACACAAAATTCAGACAAATTGTAATTTGTCCAAAACCGAATGTCTTAACAACACTGTCACCACAATAAAAATAAAAGGCTACATGATATAAATTACATTTTATTTTTTCTTTATATTTTTTTGTGTTTTCTTTCTTAACTGTTTAACTCGTCACATGCCAAATGAGTGAACATCACATGGATTTTGTACCAAGTGGTTTGCTATTCAAAGCCTTCATTAGTGTGACATTGATTTTCATTGAATGTTCTAGAAAATAAAATTGCCGACATTAACAAAACGATTGTTCTCTGAACTAGGTTATAATTTAATTTTAAAACAAAACATTTCCCTATTTGTGCAAGAATGAATAAAAAGTGTTCTTTTGGCTGGTGTCACACTGGCATATTGTCTTCCTCATTAAAATAACTGTTATTACTTGTATCTTTCTTTCCATTAATTATTCTAGTCTCAGCATTGCTTTCTAAAACATACCCATGTTCTTGTCTAAATGGGTATGGGGGTAAGGTGTTGAACCAAGCAAGCAAAATGTTTGTTGATCTATTGTGTAATGTTGACACACTTGGTAAATGTGAGCAAAGAAGTATGTTCAAAATTGTATTCATTGTTTAACCTTTTGATCTTTTATTAAAAAAACACAAAAGTACTCTGCTCTCATGGATATCAAACAATTGCAAACAGAAGACAGGCTTATAAAAATAAATGCATCTTTGTGTAATATATATGATGCACAATTATTGGCACCATTTTCGTCAATACTGTGTGCTACCTCTCTTTGCCAAGATAACTGCGCTGAGTCTTCTCCAATAATGCTTCATGAGGCTGGACAATACATTGCAAGGTATCTGGGGCCATTCCTCCATAGAGAATCTTTTCAGATCCTTGAGATGTCGATGTTGATGGACTCTCCTCTTCAGTTCATGACACAGGTTTTCTATGTGGTTCAATTCAGGGGACTGGGATGGCCATGGAAGCACCTTGATTGTGTGGTCAGTAAACTATTTTTGTGATAATTTTGATGTATGTTTTGGATTATTGTGCTGTTGTAGGATCCAGTTATGACCCATTTTAAGCTTTCTGGTTGAGGCAGCCATTTGTTCATTTAATATATCATGATATTTGATCGAGATCATGATGGCATGTGTCCTAACAAAATGTCCAGTTCCTCTGGCAGAAACACAACGCCAAAATATTAAAAAGTCACCACCATATTTAACCTCCACTATGAAGCAAGAAGTCATGGTTGAACATTTTCCTGTTCTTACTCAACATTCCAAAGGCATCATGGTGTGTGCACTTAGTGTAGCTTTATTAGGATCATTAGAACAAAAATAAATTCAATGTTTGGGCCTCAAGATAGGTCAGGGGTGTATATCTGGCACCCAGACTTTTAAGCAGACACTATCTTGACATGTGGGTAAGCACAAGTTGAAATGTAGGTTTTTTTCTATGTTGTTATTTGGGTCCCTGGTGTGGAGTATTCGGAAGAGCAGGGTGGGCCGATTCTCCACACACTGTCAGAGTGGCTGTGCATGAGTCCAGTACAGGTTTTCTGAGGAGTTCTGGCTCACTGCCTAATGAGGTCATTAGCCTCACCTGTAGGGGCTCTGAGCAGCTATATAGCTGCAGATAAAGCAAGGTGGAGTGAGGGAAGTGTTTCGAGGAGAAAGAAGGTTTGCTGCCTGTTGTATCCTGTTGTATCCTGTTGTATCCTGTTGTATCCTGTTGTGTCCTGCTACTTCTTAATAGTGATGTCGCGAACCCGAAATTTTCGGTTCGCGAACGGCGAACGCGAACTTCTGCAAATGTTCGCGAACCGGCGAACCGCCCGAACCGCCATTGACTTCAATGGGCAGGCGAATTTTAAAACACACAGGGACTCTTTCTGGCCACAATAGTGATGGAAAAGTTGTTTCAAGGAGACTAACACCTGGACTGTGGCATGCCGGAGGGGGATCCATGGCAAAACTCCCATGGAAAATTACACAGTTGATACAGAGTCTGGTTTTAATCCATAAAGGGGCAGAAATCACCTAACATTCCTAAATCACAATCAATATGGATTGACACCTGATATATGACATATTGACACCTTGACATATGGATTGACACCTGTCCTCAGAGCCCCTGATGCACACGGACACAGAGCAGAATAGAGACTGGTCCCCCTACATAGGGTCACTTGGCAGATATGGATTGACACCTGTCCTAAGGATCCCTGATACACACTGACACAGAGCAGAATAGGGACTGTTCCCCTGCATAGGGTCACTTGGCAGATATGGATTGACACCTGTCCTAAGGTTCCCTGATACACACTGACACAGAGCAGAATAGGGACTGGTCCCCCTACATCGGGTCACTTGGCAGATATGGATTGACACCTTGTTACAAACTGCTATTTGTAACGGGCCCTTTAAATGGCAAATTGCCCTGCTTCCCTGGGTTGTGGAGAAGCCTATTTGCCAGCCTCCTCCCGCATGACTATGGCCCCTGGGAGATTGTGAAAATGTATGCACTTTTATTTGGTGTGTATGGCCCTTTAAGACTGTCGGTGGGCATATTGGGGCTTATGGACTCTTTATGTGACTGGTGCTGGCCCTTTAAACACCTTTTTTGGGACATCAGGAAGATTGGGACACTGCCCCTTTAAGGCCGTGTCCCCAGACTTGTTGGGGACACGGCCCCTTTAAGACGGTGTCCCCTGTGTCCCCAGACCTGGTGCAAACCCTTTGTGCTGCCTTGCTATTTCCCACTTGGTTCAGTAAATGGGAAATTATTTCAGCTACAGAGACTAAGTCCCATTCGGCGATGGGACTTAGTCTTTTTTTCAGCCGTTTTTTTCAGCCTTATTTCAGCTGCAGAGACTAAGTCCCATTCGGCGATGGGACTTAGTCTTTTTTTCAGCCTTATTTCAGCTGCAGAGACTAAGTCCCATTCGCGATGGGACTTAGTCGTTTTTTCAGCCTGAAATAGACCGACCTCACAGCCCAAATCTATGGAACTGTTTTGGGCAGGAAAATGTGCTTGCGGTCGGTCATAAAGGGACCTCCAGCTAACTTTTTAACCCCTGGATGGATTTGGCTGATTTTTGGTTATGTTTATGTTTTAAGTGTGCTGATTCCAAATATGTAATTATGAAGATGGGATGTGTAGTTTTAAAGTTACAGGGTATGGCTAAAAACTGTATTTTTACTGCCTGTGTTTAATTATGTTAATCTCTTCCCAAACGTCATTTCGTTCAAAGTGGAGAGAATGTTAAAAAAATATATTTTTGTTCGGAGTGTGAGAAATGCTTTTCAGCCGCTTCTAATCTTAAGCATCATTTGAGGAGCCATACAGGAGAGAAACCTTATTTGTGGTGTGTTTAGTATTGTTCTGATCAGTTTAATACCTTCCGCGTCTCCTATCAGTGGACGTGTATATGGCAGCCATTTTAGGAACCGTACACCTGGGACCCGAGCAAGGTCACCTAGTTCAACAGGCTTGCAGCGTATCCTCCAGGAAGAAGAGCCTGAACCCTTACCGGCTGCACGTGTCTTACCTGTACATGGAAAGCT